CCCCCACCCTTTTTTTGGCTTATGTCTGATGGATTTATTCGTTTTTAAAAATGAAAAGAAAAAAAATTAAAACACTTTCCTTCACAGAAGCCAAACGCACTGGACAATTTGCACAAGCACTTTTTTAAAGCTTTTTTGCACTAACAATTTAAACAAACTATTTTATTTCACACCAGCCGAAGTCTAGTGGCAAATAATGCATTGATTTAAGTCTACTTCCTTTTTATATGCAGTTAAAAAGGGCTGTTAGATCTTGTTTCGCTTGGTTTCAAAATTGTTGTTTCCAGGGGCCGAAAAACTTGTCAATTCTTGAAAGGCGGTGATTGAGTGGTTTTATCATGTTGAATTGGATTCAACTAGATTTTTCCTTAATGTTTAAATATATTATATTATTTGAATTATGTGCTTAGAAATAAAAATGATAAATTCCGCCTGCCGCCTCTCAATCTTGTCAACTATCATTTTGGCGCCCCTAGAGCCGCCCGGAGCGCAATGATCTAGGGGCCTACCCTGGGGCCGGCCCTGATGCTTCTTATGAAAAGGTCCACTATCTTGAACTTGATCACTTACTTCTTCCTCTTAATCATAGGAGTTCCGATTTTCATTCAAAATTTCAGAAAAAATTTCATGATCATTTAAAATTTGAAATCCTGAGTCGTTTTCAGTGTCTCGACACCAGTCTTCTATTTCTTCTGCTGTATAACCTGGCATATTTTCACACGAAAGATCTACCAATTCACAAGCTGCAGTTTCGTTTGTTTTTCTGATAAGAATTTTATTCCAAGATTTAAGATTCCAAGCACTGTAATCACTAATCATTAACCATGAGTGACAACTTCCCATCCCCCAATTGTAGAATTTCAGCACTTATCTGTTTATAAACACATTCCGCTTTCCAACAATGGTAGATTGTCAATGAAGCTCGCATTCTTTGATGATAATTTTCAGTTGAAGAAGGCTAAAGGGGTATGTAGGTTTAACTGTATAACAATACATGTATGTATGGCTACCATAAGAAAACTGCTAAAAAAGGTTGTAAATTAAATATGGTCTTCAGATGTAGTGGATATTATCTATTCCTCTAAATTTAGAAAAATTGTCGATAAGTTAAAAAAAATTCTAAACTTAAAAAAGAGAAGAAAAAAAAAGCGAATTCGGACATAGTTCGGATAATAAGGGTTCGGATAATCGGTGCTCTACTGTATTTTTCAATCATTACTTTAGTAATTATTGCTACGCATTTTTATGCGGTTTTGAAAGTCCTGGTATTTTTAATACGCTGTTACAACACTTGAATATTGAATAATTTAAATTAGTCAGCTTTTAACTTGCTTTATTTGAACCAATTTCGTTGTACATGCATAGTAATTTAGATTATTTTTCGACAGTTATTACTTTACTACCCTTTTTGACGTGATTTAAAAAATTCTGATGTTTTCAATGCTTTATTATTATGATACAAGATGACTTAAAAAGTTTTTTTTTTTTTTTTAATATTTGATTTTTGAAAAAAATTTTAATTTGATAAATAAGATTTGTAAATCATCTTATAATTTGTTCAAAATAAATTTTATTGAAGTATATTTCCTACTAAATGTTGAATCTCATTTTGTGTTGTAATGGTTAAATATGTTTTATTTAAACCTCATAAACTTTCTAACTGCATTTGCAAGTTGTAAGTACTTCATTGATTTGCTTACTAGAAAATTGATTTACTCATAGATTTTGCTCACTGGAAAAATTTTTATTTTTTAAAATTTAATTCTATGAACATTAAAGTTTTTTAATGTCATAATTTAGATTAAAATGGACTTTTGTTTTGTATAATGTGATAAAAAAAACATGACTTTTCCCATTGTTTTACTTATTAGCAAATCTTTTATCAAGTTAACTGATAAAAATAATTTAGTGCTAGAACAGCAATTAAAAAAAATTCTATGCATTTAAAGTTTGGTTTTAATTTTGCTAACATAAATAGATCGTATCATTGCTCAAGTAAAAAATAATTTTCTAATTCAACCTGTCACTATTGATGTCAGTAAGAGTGAAAAGGTTAAAACTAATTTATTTGAAAAGTAACAAAAGCAAACTACGTTTTAGCCCCATAAGAAGATTTTAATTCCTCTTTCTTCTCTAATGTCTGCAATTAGTTTAGTTTTTTTTAAATTGATTCAAAAATATATATGTTAAGGGTTGTTATTTTATTTATTAAATTCTTTTATAGAAGTTTGGTAATGTTGAAGGCAAAAGTTTTAAGTACCTGAGAGAAGCAGCTGAAAAATCAAATCTAGCTGCAGGCCAGTATACACCACCCGGAGGAGAAACTATTCAACAGGTTAGTACAACTTGTTAGTACAGCTATAGAATTATACTGTATGACATTTATAACATGTTTTTGTTTAATAGGTTCATGAGAGGGCTGTGTCATTTTTTAAAGATCTTTGTGAAATGGTTAAAGAATGTCCTGATTTGCCAACTATTAATCAAACTACTGCCAATGGTTCACATGATAATGGAAAACTAAGTGGACAAAAGCGAAAGTGGGAAAATGGTGAAAATGATTCAAGTTGCAATAATGAAGTAGAAAACATTAGTAAAGTTCATGTAAAAGAAACTTTAAATGTTGATGCAGCTGGAGCTTCTTCCACTGTTAAATCTAATAATGGAATTGATAATGTTAAAAATGGTGCCTCAAATCAATTTGAAAAAATTGCAGAACGCAGTAGACCAACATTAGATGTAGATTCACTTCAAAATGGTGGTTTGAATGAAAAAGGTCCCTTTTCTGCTATGTTTACAGATGATGACATAAGATCACAAATAATGTCAAACTGTAATGATATTCCTAACATAGAGTGTCCAAATGTTTCGCTGTCCCCGCTGGTAGACCAAAATTTTATATCGTTGCCTGTTTTTTCACTACAAGAAAAAAACCAAGATTTAGAGCAAGAACGACGTCTATCTGTTTGTAGCTCATGTGATGATGCTGACAGTGGCCCTACTTTGATGGCCAATATATTAGTAGTTAGTCATGGCGGGTGGCTACGAGAATTATTTCGACATTTTGTTGAAGATCTAGATTGCTCTGTTCCTGGTGGTAGAAAACAGGCTTTGCGTATTAGCCCCAATGCGGGATTATCCAAATTTACTGTTTCCTTAGAAGATCATGATGGCCATCCGAAAATAATTTGTCTTCAGATTCACGATAAGCAACATTTAGTTTCAACCTGCTACAATAATAAAATTTTAAGTCCAGATGAAGTTGCATTGTAAACTATTTGAGGCAAAATTAGGTGCTTTTATGAGTTCTTTTTATAATGAATGTTGGGTCTGTTTAGTTTTTCAGAAGCATTGCGAATATTCTTAGCTATTCATTTGTAAATGTCTCATTAAAAAAGTGTATAACTTGTTTTAAATTGTCTAATTTACATTCTTTGTTTAAAAGGAGAATTATGTTGTGGCATGTGGGATATTAAAATATTTCTCAAGTTAAAAAACTGCACTTTCAAAGTTTAAAATGTGATGGATATTAATTAGTTAGGTATTCAATTTTCTATCTATTGTACAAACCAAACATTTGTATAACTGTGTATCTTAGAAACTTAGAATGTGTTTTATAATAGGAATTTCAAATATAACTTTTATCAATTTTTAATTCTAAGTTATTTAAAATGTCTCAGCTTAGAGTATGATTTGGTGGAGAATATTCATCAGTATGTTCCAAATTACTCATTTTTATTATTGTCATTCTTACATGTTACTCATTTTTGTTAAGCTGTTTCTAAATGTGTAAGCTCTTTATGGTATTAAGTAACTTAGAAAAAATTAACTTGCATAGATTCTAATCGAAATCAAGTTCAAATATCAACAATTATCAGGTTAAAGTTAAAATATGCTTATTGTACTTAACCTTAAAATATTTAAGACAGTGGAAAGTCCTGTATCTAGAATCACAAAACTTCAGCAAGTCTGAGAAATAGATTTTTCTGGATAGTAGGTCTTTAAGGATAACAAAGATAAAAACATACATCAATATTTCTATAATAATATTTTGTTTGTTAAATGACATTTAAATAACTAAAAAATATTTAATATAATGAAATAAATGTCAACAATAAAATATATCCTAAAAATGGAAAAGCAATCAGTTGAACTTTTTCTTTCATGAATAAAAATCCATTTCTCTCCTATGTATTATTTCTTTCAATTGGTTTGAAGAATTAGCGCAGATATTAAATTTAAATCAAAGCAAAGCCTATCTGCAGGTGTTTCTCTCAAACAATTAATAACATTCAGCTTCATTTAATATTCATAACATATTGCTTTCATTGAAGTTGGTTTTTCTGTAACTGCTCTTGTCTCTTCAACAACTCATTAAAGCTGTATATTATCTAACTATCATAAACACAGCAAAAGGAAGAAAGTGAAGAAAAAATTTTTTTTGTGTAAAATTGTAGAACAAATCAAGAACAGAAAAGTAGGAAATATTTTTATATTTTATTTTAGAAAAGATGAAGAGATTTATTTATTTGATTATTGAAAATTGTCCAAAAAATAGACTTTTCTCCGGTAAATGGACAGCCAGAAATGGGACTTAGTACTGTATATAGATAATGCATAGCTATTTACATTTATACTTACTGCGGGAGAATTTTCTCAAGTGTATTAAAATAATTGAAGTTAGGAAAAATATTGTTAATTTCACCAGTCCTTAAAAAACATGATTGTGTGATTTATAAATAGTTGCCGCCCTAACTGGATTTTGTCACATTCAACTTGTCCTCTACTTTAAGTTCTGCTTTTTGTATATTTTAGAAAATTTCTTGATATAGTGTAAAGTCCTGTTTCGTAATTTTTTTGGGCTTCCTGCCACAAATCTCTCTAGCACTAATGTCTTTCTGCTAGATAATTTTAATAACAACAAATATACATGTTACTAATTAAATTTAAAGTAACAGAAATGTTGTGTTTATAAAAAAAATAATAATCTATTCGAATAAAATAAAATTGTATTTAATTTTTAAATGAATATGTAATATTTTTTATTATTCTAATATATGTGAGATTCTCACATATTGTAAGAAAAAAACTCACTTATTTTATCCTTTTTCGCATTCTCTGAGCCCTATCACATCAACAACAACAAAAAAGTTAGTAATCCGTAGCAGTGACTACTGAAGAAAAAAAAAATCGACAGCGAAATCGCACGAATTAAATTATATCATATTTGAAACACGGTATTTCAAAAACAGTGTGAAAGAAATGCCCCCCCCCCCTTTAAAAAAAAGCGATATAATCATTGCTTTAAAAATTAAATATTCATAAGCACAATTCTAATTTCCCAATCTGTCAAAAATATATTGTGATATAGAAAAACCATGTGAAAATCAATAACTGCAAAAAATACAATTTGAAGCACTGGATGGATTTGCGATAGTATTTGCAAAAACAGAGATACCAACTGCTCTGGACACACCAAAATAATTTTAAAAATGGTAAATAACTACAAACTAAATTTTGCATGTATTTGACTATTTTTGCTTGCTTTTTAAAAGGTATAGCATGACATAACTACTCTAAAGTGGTGAATTATATAAGCCTACAAATTATTTCGAAATAGTGGTGGATAAAAGTCTACTTAGTTAAATTTATTAAACCTAGAATCGCAATTGATAAACTACCACTTTAAAATATTTATTTGCTGTCCGGAGCAAATTGGCATCTTTGCGTAAAGTAAGCGCATCAAAAAGTGATTATTTAATTGCGCAATTTGAATTTTACGTAAAAAAATAATATTACCTAAAAAATAACCAGAATTTTAAAATACCCATAGAATTAAGTATCACTATCAATAAAAAGTAAAAAAAATGACAATCATCCCATTAAAAATAATTAATTGATTTGAGTTTTGCTTATAATTAATTTATTAAAATAAACATCAGGATATGTATATTTTTTTAATGTGAAATTTCGTAGCAATAACTGTCGTAAGAACGATTCAAATACCGCGTGGATTAACAAGAATATCGGCGCAAAACTAGCGTGTTGAAGAATGATTTCTTAAATCCGTAACTCGAATTTTGCATTATGCAGTAATATCGGTATATTTCAAAAATTCCCGAGAAGATATGGAATAACTGAGCAATAAAGGGCATCCGGATTTCGAAAAAGCAAAACAAAAATTCCTAGCAATAACTATCGAAGGAACGATTGAAATACCATATGAATTCTACCACAGGGATGCTAAGTTTCTGAAAAATCCTCAACAAGAATATCGGTGCAAAATGAGTGTGTCAAAAAATGATTTCTTGAATCCGTGATTCGAATTTCGCGCGCCGTAATGATATTGGCATATTTCAAAAATTCACGAGAATATAATTAATAACTGAGCAATAACAAAGCATATAATTCGTAGCAATAATTGTCGAAAGAACGAATGAAATACCGCTTGGATTATTGGTGCATAATGAGCCACATCAAAGAATGATTGCTGGAGGGAAAAAAATCTCTCAACATTTCTGCAGAAAAGAAATTTTTTACTCCATTATTCTATATTTTACATTCTTCTCAAATAAGAATAGAAAAATCACTAACATTTCTTTCCCCTCTGATGTGCAAAAAAGGCATCTTTTAAACATAATTTTAGAGATCAAAAATTTCTGCAGAAAAGAAAACCAAAATTCTTTCTGCAAGAACTCCGTAACATTATGCGACAATGTCACCGCGATTCTGCCACGGGTGTAAAGTTTCTGAAAAAATCCTCAACAATTTTTTTTCACTCAATTTATCTCTTCTTTAGTAATTTAATGTATCATTCCATGATCATTTGTGGGACATTTTCTTAATGTATTGTATCATAATATATTTAGTATTTAAAAAAAAAGAAAATTTATATAATAAATAGGAAGTGAATATATTTGTATTTTTTTAGGAGTCTTTTTTTGAAAGTCTTCGAAAACATTATTTATTGCAATTAAATCAGTCTCATGTTGGGTGAAGCTGATTCATTAAAAAAAAAATTAAATATTTTAATTCAAATGAGTTAAAAAATGATTTGATGAACATAATTTTTTCCATAAGAGTATACTAAAACTACTGCAAAGAATTTACATAAGTTATAAGTCATATCTTTATTGCAAGTGTTGAATAATTATCTTTGTTATTGTGTGCTATAGCCTATATGTTATTCAAGATATTCTTGAAACCATCTAAATGGAATTTATTATCTTTTGCTATTTAAAATTATGAATTAAAAAATGTAATAAAATTTTTTTTAAATCAATTTAGTCAGTCACAAACAAAAAAAATCTTTATTGTCAATTTAAGTTTGTAAAGTTTGTAGTTTTTGTGTTTCAGTTCCCTTTATTGATCATAAAATTTCCTCTGTGGGGAATAATTTACATGTTGCATTAGTGTGCAATAAATGTTCGATTGCATTGTAAAATCTACTGTACTTGCCTAACTCATAGGTTGAAAAAAATCTGGTTCTGTTTCTACGTTGAACATTGTGATTGTTAAAGAGTTATGCATTTCAGAGATATATTGAATTGGAATTTTGGTCTCTTAAAAGTGCATTTGATTTTATGTAGTTTTTAATAATTTATTAAATTTTATCTGGAAATAAAAATGAATTTTTTATATTAAAAATTTACTTGTGAATATTGAATTAACAGAATTTCCATAGATTGAAAAATGTCAATTGGAGAAATTATTATATGGGGCAATGTTAATTCCATGAAATGTTTTTTTTTTTAATATATTTAAATTCATATGACTTTTTAAAAAAGTATTTAATCAACTTTTTTTTTTCTTCGTAAAAAGTATGCTAAAAGTACTGCTATGAATTTGCATAAGTTATGTTGCAAGTCATCTTTATTGCAAATGTTAAAAAATAATAGTTTTTGTGTAGTTTTATAACCTATATGTTGTTATAGAAATTGTTGAAACTTTCTAAAAGGAATGTTATCCTTCACTATTTAAAATTATGAATTTGAAGTTATAAGAAATATTTTTTTTAATCAATTTAGTCAGTCAGAAACAAAAAAATTTTTTTTGTGAATTTTAATTTATAAATTATTATATATGTGATATAGTTATCGTGTTTTTGTTCCTTTTATTGTTTATAAAAGTTTCTTTGTGGGGAACATTCTACTTGTTGCAATTGTTTCATAAAACATTTTATATGTTACAGTATTGTGAAATCTATTGGATTAATTAAACTCAAAAGTTGAAAAAATCTGGTTTCATTTCTAAGTGAACTTTGTGATTGTTAAAAGGTGATTGATTGTCAAAGATGTATTGAAATTGAATTCATAAGCTGATCCATTAAAAGATAAATTCTTCATATTAAAAATTTGCCAGTTAATGTTGAATGATTAGCAGTTTCCATGGGTTTTAGTTTATAAGTGCCTATCTTTATCTTTTTTCTAACAATGAAATTTTGCATTTAATTTCAGTTTAAAGTCAGCTTGGCTAAAAAAAAAAAAAAAATAATAAGCTAATAACAAAGTTCCCTGATCTCAATTTTTTCTTGTGCCTGATATTATGTTTTCAGTAAACATTTAAAGGGAAAAAAAAATTTAAAGTGTTTTTTTTTTTTAAGCATTGAAATGTAAACAATAAAAATGCTAAGGAAACCTATAAAAACATTTGAATATTTGGCTTTTGATTCCTATCCAATAAGTTATAGTTTATTTTCACTGCCTAAATTTTAAGATTGATTACTTTTTTCTAACACTTTCTAAATAGCTAATGTTAGCCAATAGTAAGTAAACAACTTGTACTTGGATTCAGAACTTTAAGATAATTTTATAAGGAACACACTAAATATCGCAAGAAATAGGCCTCAAATTGTTCTCTTCATCTCGCAAATGTAATTTTTACATCTTGCCTACTTTTGTAGGGTGACTAAGTATTAAATGTGATAAAAAAGAATGATCAGTTTCGACCCAATGTCTGAAAATATCATTCCCAACTTCTTGTGAGCATTTTAGTTTCTGTTATTATGCATTTTATACTTCATATTTTTCAGGACACTGGGAACAAGCATTGCTTTAAGTATTTTCTGCATTTTTATGTTCAGACTGACTTCTTCAACAGTTCAGTGTATGGTTCTTTTCGGTTTGCAGCAAGCGTATAATAAATTTCACATTTTGATTATTCATACTTAGACATATTTTATGTATTTCAGGATGCTTTCAATTTTTAAGAAAAATCTGCAAACTTTTTAATTTTAAGTACTATGTATCCCATTCTAATAAAGAGAAGCATTTATTTCCCATCTCTTTCTAAAGGTATTGTATTGTAAAATAATACTTTATCATCAAAAATTTGTTAAGAATGAAAGATACAAAGGAATTAAAATATCAAAAATTTAACGTATATTCCAAGACAGGGCAAAATAATTCCTATGATTTTGCCCAAACACTTGTGTATTAGTATTATAAGTAGGGGGAGAGGGAGTTTGTGTGGACTTTGGGCTAATTTGGACATCTTGAATCATTTTTTTAATTTATTGTACAAATTGTCTCAGTGAGATATCGTAAATTGGCATGCACTTCCATGTGTAGTTACATAATCACACTGAATACTTTAGCAGAAATTTGTAAAATAAGGTTTTTGATGTGGAAAAGTAACTTTCAAATATTTTATTTTCTGAATTTCTACTAAAGGTTATAAATATTATTTTTTGCCTTTTTCGATATTAATTTTTATTCTGTATAGTTTCAATTGTTCGGTATTACTCAAAGATATGTTTTCATATGGCTATTGTAGACATGTGGTTGGGCTCGTGTGGACATGCTTTAAGTTTAATTTTTCATTTATAAATAAGCTACTTTAGTTTTTTTTTTGTTTTAAGTCACAATGATGCTAGATGAATATGAATAAATTGAAATTTCTTAACAGCACAGACTAATTAGGAGTTAAAAACTTTGTGTTAGTCTTTTTTTTTCTTTTCTTTTTGAAGGAATAAAACAGTGTTGTACATTATGTGAAAGGGGAAATTGTCTATGTAAATCATGATCTTCATTTATTTTTAAAAAAAAATTATGGCTCTTCTAATCATAAATTTTTCCTTTTTTTAAAAAAAGAAAAAAAGCTCTCAAATCTCAACATAAGAAATAGTTAAACTTCCATAGCCAGTAGCTGATCAGCCCAACCATAGCCATAGCAAACTTCTATATTACCAGATCTGCACCTCAATACACATTTAAAATTGACATTTTAATATTTTTTGATAGAATAAAGATAGATTTCAAGATATCTATCATAAACCAAATTGAATAATGGTTTTCAACTATATCCATTTGCATTCCAACTGCATATCTGATTATAGTGAAATGCTTTATTACAAATTAGCATTTTTATCAATATTTATTCTCCAATAAGGCTTAGATTGAAATTAATTTAATTTTGGCTTTATATATACCTTTCTAAAGAGTAATAAATGGCTACTTCACAAGTCATCAGGTTTGTTCCTACTAGCCTCAAAGCTTGTCCACACTAGCCTCATGTAGTAGGCTAGTGTTGACAAAAACAATCCTATTTAAAAAAAAATTTATGGAAAAGCTAAATTAGTAATTCCAAATATGAACTTAGAATGCAGGGAAAAGTTCAAACTATTGTTGAAAAAAATTCTAAATATATTAAAATTTTATTTAATATGGCTCTTATCAAATTTGTAAAAGATGTTGACACTAACCCCCTCTAACATATTCTAAAACTTAAAAAAAATAATTATGCTATTGTGAATTGTAATTGTTTCTCATTTAATTAGCAATAGGTAAACAGTAAAATTTTTGATTTTTCCTAATAGGTATAACAGTGATATTTTTGTTAAAAAATGTTTAAAATTATGTATTTCTCTATAAAAAATCTCTTAAAGTGTTCTGTCTAAAACCCCATTTTTTTAATGACTATAAAAAAAATACCCTCCTGATTCTTTATTGTATTGAATTGTAAAATTATCAGGTCTACTTGTCCGAAAAAATAAATACTGGTAATAATAACATTTATTTCTTTTTGTACAAAAGAAATGAAGGTATTCATTACTATAATTAGTTATTAATGATTTTGAAGTAAATTTACATGGGAGAAAGTGCATAATCTCTATGTTGTAAAAAAAAAGGTGATAATAAGTAGGTTTATTTCTCCCAAATAAAGAAAAAATAAAATATTCTTACTACCAGCATTTTGTCTTTTCCGGACAAATAGCAACTCTGTGTTAAGTGAACAAAATTTGAGTTGGCAAAAATGGTGATTTTACTGTAAAAAATTCTTGAAATTTGCAAAAACATTTCCCGCAGAAATTCTTTCATGGCACCAAAGTTTTGGCTCTTAAATAAAAGCATTGCGAACCTAAGAGCCATTTTCTCCAGTTATGACTTTTTGTTAAATTGAGACCATTTTCAAAATTGCCCTCTCATTGTAGTTTTTGTTCAAAAAATTTTTAAAAAAAATTCTTTTAGACTTTAGCCTTTTCATAAAAATCTGACATGATGGCAATGGCTGTTGTTCTACAGGGAATGAGCCCAAAATGTGTTTTTTTTTATATGCTTTGCAGGCAATTATCTTTTGAGTTATGTTTTTTTTTCTTGTATCATTATTTATTTTGTATTGTTTTTTCCTAATTAAGTATTTTGTATATTTTAAATTAAAAATCATGAAATTGGTTTAGTTACTTGATTAAAATTTAAAAAAATTCTAATACTAAAAGGTTCAGCCTCTGCTCGCTATATAACCCACCTATATGCTCATCCTATAACTGCTTAAGCTGTACCTTTTTCGTAGACTGAACTCACTTTTTATACTTCCCCAGTACCTCCAATGCTGATGACTATTGATTGCATGTATTTTAAAAATGCTATATTTTTATTTAAGATTACATCATTAAAATTGATTTTACATTGTGTACAAACAAATGAAAAGATAATTGAACAGTGAATAAGGTTAATAAATATAATTTTTGTAAGAATGTGATTTCAAATAACTGACTTTTTTAAAAAAAAGTTTTAAATATGGATGATATTCTATGCCAGGATGCTCTGTATTACTCACAAACTCCCCAAACTGCTTCAGATTTTCATTTCATTCCAAATATTCATTTAGTAATCAAAATTTGCTCTTCACTTTGATAGTCTTAGATACCCATAGAAAGATATTGAAGTCTTTAATTATTTGACAACAGTGAAACCAAATGATTCTATTTGTCTTAACATTTGGCTACTGATTAGTAATGCTTGCAGACTTGTCAACTTCTGCTTTCGAAAGGAGTCTTTTTCTCTTATTTATCAAGTGGTAGGAAAATGTATACTTCAGCATTTCATTTTTTGATTAGTAAATTCATTTTTCAGTAATTTTTACCACCACTTTATATAATCATTTTAAACAAATATCCAAGACCTTATAATTGTGCAATGAAGTTTTTAAGTACTTGCTGAATGTGAGCTGTGGAGATAGTCAACAAGAGTTTTGCAGGAGTGTGAAAAATTTCTGTGATTCCGATTCCGCTTATTTAAAAGGTTAATGGACTTTTGAGACTTAAGACGTTTGACTTAAAAGATGTGAATTCTTTGATTTTTATGAAAATTGTTTAGACAAATATTTATTATTATATGAATAAAAAAATTATTTTATTGCATATTATAAAAAATCTTTGAATGGTTCTGAGCTTATGTTTGATTGAACTATTGACAAATAAAAAACAGAAATATTATTGAAGCTATTGAAAAATCAATATTAATAAATATCTTTTGATTTATTTCTTGTAAAATTAATTACAAAGGTAATGCATATATTTATTAACTGTATAAGTTGTTATAGTTACTTAGTTTAAGAATATTCACTTAATATTCTTGATATAAGATAGTAATAAGTGTTTATGGAATGGTTTTGCACAATTTTAATGTTTTGTAATAATAAATTTGTTAAAAAAAACTTTTCTCAATTGTTATGTTTCAATGTAATATTTAATTTTTACTAAAATACTGTCATGTCTAGTACATAACGAAATAGAAATATGTAATTTAAAATTAGGATTTTCCTTAGAATAATATTAATTCTTTCTTAGGATTCAGTGAAAATTTTAATAGCTTAGAAGTCAGAGTAGGACTCTTAGAAAGATCCTGAGTTGAATATTTTCCACAATTTACTCCAGCTCTGTTTTGGACTGTAAACTGGCTCTAGGACTTTCTTTTTTCAACTGATATGTTGATTCAGGTGGGGTTATAAAAGCACCCTACAATGATTTTATTAGTTAATATTTTTTTATTATTCAGTTTATTAAAAATTAGCTTGCTTATTTATTAATTTGTATTATATTTATTGTTTTATATTTGTATTAGTGTGTTGAAAATAATTAAATTTGATTGTTTTTTAGATTTAAGCTTTACGAAACATCAGTTTTCTGATATTTTTTTTAAAAAAACAGTTATATTTTAAATTTCCCTTTTGGCGTTGTTAAGAATATTTAATTCAGCAATTTTGCGTTGTCTTTAATGTTTAAGGAGTTATTTTCAAGTATTAGCTAAATATACTTCCATTATAAGAGTTAAGAATATAAACATTTAATATTGCACAATCCCACTTCTCTTGCCTTTCACATATCTTGTGAAAACTAGCCAGCTGCATTTCCCAGCTTCTAAAAATTTGTCTGAGGTTTTGCGACATGTTTAGTTAAATTTTCATAATTAAACCAATTGAAATTTTTTTTGTGATGATGCAAATTACAGTTTTACTTTATCTGTTAATTTTTTATGCAGTTTTATTTTAGAATTAAAGATATGTTTGAATAAGTGGTAAAATTTTTGTGCAATTATTTTCTGTTCTACTAAACATCGCTTAAATTCTTTTTAAAAAGAAAAATATTGGATTTTCGTATAAACTAATGATTTTTTATTATCTTAAGTGTCTACCGTTATTATGCTCTTTTTAACCTTAATAAGTAAATCATAAACTTCTGTTTGTAATCATTGAGAATTATGTCAAACATGCCGTTTAACAGTTTCTTTCATTTTGCCTTTAGTTATAATGAAAAGCCTTGCTAGATTAGCATCTATTTTCATCTAAAATAATTTTTACAATTTTATTACGATTATTTGGTGTTTGAAGTATACTTAATGATTAAATTTATCTAAATAAAATTTAAATATGTTTATTAGTTTGAGTTGAAAAAGTTGAAAGTATCTGAAACCTTCTAGCAGTAGTTGTCAATTACCATAGTTGGAAAATGCTAAATTTTATAATTCTGAATTGTAATGTTCTACCTCAATTTTTGAATTATAAAATTTGGCACAAGATATCAATTTTGAGTTTTAAAATTTTGCATACTTCTTAATGATAGTTGACAATTTTTTAGCACTATTACTTAAAGATTTAAGAAACTTACATTTTTTAACCTGCCCTGTTTATGGTGTAATAAATGACAATTAGTTTCTTTATTTGGTACTTTTTGTGTCTAAAAAAGTATTTTATTTATTTTTTAGTTTATCATATTTCTGCTGTTGAAAAAGTGTATGTCATCATGTTAAAAAGTTTTTAATTTTCTTTGAGTGTGAAATTTGGTTTTGATTTGTTTATTCTAATCTTCACTTCTGTAGATTAAATTGCAAAGAAATTCTATTTAAAAAATGGGATTTTTGGGACCTTTATTTTAAATTTCGCAGCTGTATTTTGCCCTATACTCAATAGCGACGTGGACGTAAAGGTTAAGTCTCTAAAAAAATTTATGATATAAAAATAAACAAAAAAAATTTTAATAAAAATATGGAATTTATTCTATTCTGATGAATCCTCACAAAGATTAATTGGGTCTGCTATGAATTGTTCTATTCAAAATTTATGTGAACCCTCTGTTGTGTATTTTGTATGATTTCCATGAGAATATTTAAATTATTTATGAGGTTAAAACCTTCAACTTCTTTTCACCCTAAATATACTCCTATGCTCAAACTTGTTTTTAGTTATTTATTTTACTAATTTTAAACTAGTTTGTATAAACTGACGTAGAGCTTTAAGAATGAATATTTTAATTCCAAATTCTAGCTCAAAACTGTAATTGAATTATAAAATTTGATTCAAAATGTGTAAATCTATTATTTGTATATAAGAAACACAGAATATAAAGAACAGGCTTTTTAAAGAGCTTTAAGAATGTTAATGGCAATATAAGATTGGAAGTCTATGGAAGAGATTTTTTAAGAATGTTTCGATTGACTGTTTTTTGATGTAGAATATCCATTTTAAATATTGGAGCTTGAGTCTTTAGTTTTTATAAAAATTAAAAAAAAAATTAATTGAATTATAGTTGATTACAAATTGAAGCATTGTCAGTTATAAATTACTTGCAACTAATAAATGTTTGCAAATGCTTATTTTCAAATAAATGTGGCTTTAATCAAGCGTATGATAATTTTCTGTATTTTATCATTTTTAATTTTTTTTAGTTTAATCATATTTTTACACATTCAGAAAACTTGTAATGTGTCTATATTTTCTCTGCATAAAATATTGTAGTATGATAGTGTGGTTAAGATTGTATGCTTTTCAAATAAAGGATTTCATTTATGTAAAATGTATATCATTTGTGTAAAATGAAAGTAAAACTCTCTGCTTCATAAAAAATGCAATATACAAAACATTGAAACTTAAACTTCTTAATTTGCACTGCAGCATTATTGAAACAGGATTAACAATAGTCTCTGAAAAATTTCTTGAAAAGTCTTCCTAGTAAACTCCTGAAAAAGTTCTCAATTTATGAAACTGTATTAATGTCTTTAAAATGTGCTATTTTTTAAATTTTTTTCATTTTGAATTATCTTAGTATGTTTTTATTTTTGGCCTCCTGCAAATGTTTTTAATAGTGCAAAAATTGAAAATTTTAAACAAATTCCTTATCTTTATTTGACTATAAACCTTATTAAATGAAAACAAGTAAAATTTTGCCATACCTGGTTGAAAAAGTTTAAGAAATAAAAGTTTTTAAATCTCTTCCTGTTAATCTCAATATAAAATCAGTCTACTTCCAGGTTGTTATAATTAAAGTTTCCTTGTTTAGCAGAACATAATTTACTCTGCTGATGATATTCGATGAAACTGAGTATAAACATTAAATTGAAGAGGAAAAAATAAATCTGCCATTAAAGAAAAAATTAGTTCACATTTCTACCACCAGGTGATTAAACAGCATTTCAAAAAAACAAACACCAATGATGACTTAAAACTTTTTTTAATATGTTCATTGTGCATTCCATCTTTTTGCAAGTTCCAAATGCAATTTAACATATTCAACTATAACATGAGGGGTATTTGAGGTAGTGCAGAAACATGATATTATACTTACTTTAAATTCAGTTATATTTTAAAGCTTCTTCTGTCCTCTTCTTTCTAAGTCTTTAAATTTACTCACCTTTTTTTAATTCTTTCTCCTACATCGGCCAAAGGCAGAATGAATTTATGACAATAACTGTCTTTTTATTATGCTTTAAATTGCAATAAGGTCCTTTTGTCATACATGAAAAGTGCAATCTATCAGTTTAAATGTAAAAAAAAAAAAAAAATTTCTCGTGGTTTATATAATGATATGCCAAGTTTCATTGACATTTCACCAAAGTGAACTGTATTGGTTTAAAAAGTAACCTTATTGCCGCTGTGTATATTAAAGTGATAGTTAATAAATAATGCTTTCATTAAAAAACATTCTCTGATTTAGTAACACACACATTGTGGTAAAAGTTTAATAAAATATTTTGCCATTATATTTCTAGTGCGTGCTAGAAGAAAGTTATTTAAAACTATATTGTTGATTTGTGCAAAACTGCTTATTGTTTATGTTATTTCATGAGAATTTAAAGAAATTGTATTTATGTTCTTGCTTTAACTCCTTTAGAATATAATTGAAATGTTTGAAATCTTTAATATTTTTGTAATCTCTTATAGTTTTGTACTTATAAGTTAATATACATTGTCACGTCATTTACTTTGTTCATGTGCTGTTTAATTAGAGGATGAGAGAATATTATCATTTTGCTTAAAGCTGGCGTATCAGAATAGCATGCTAAGTAAAAAGGCAATATTTTGTTTATCTAGCTCATTATATTTATTATGATTCATTGCATTTCTTTTCATTATCTTAGTAACCAAGACGTTTTTGTGTTTTCGATTTTTATTAATAAACAGTTTGATGACTGAAAGCTTATTTTTTAAGAGTGCATTTAGTTGGAAAAGGCAAACAAATATGCTGATAATAATATATCTACTTTCTCTTATTCTTTAACTCTTGTTTCACAACTTATTTTCTTATTTCTTTATTTTCAGGAAAATTTCTTCCTTAGTAGAAAAAATTGCTTAGGAAGAAATGACTCTCTTTCATTTTCAGTGGAGAAAACTTTTTATGCTTTTATATATATATATATATATATATATCTCACGTCAACTGTATATATAATTTTTAAACAGTTTATAATTGCAATCTGATTCTAGTTTTAATTAATAGTATTAATTTTCAAGCTATTTATGTTATTATTCTGTCCTTATTATTACCAGGAAAATTTCTTCCATAGTAGAAAAAATTGCCTAATAAGAAATGGCTTTCTTCCATTTTCAGCTTAGCAAACTTTTTATGCTTTATTTTTACATCTAGCGTCAACTGAATATATAATTTTTAAACAATTATTTTAAGCAGTTTATAATTGCAATCTGATTCTAGTTTAATTAATAATATTTATTTTCACGCTATTATTTTACTTTGCTATCCTTATTTCTTATTGCCAAAGATTAAAAGCAAAGTTAATATAAATTCAATAAAAAATACATTGAAATAGATTTAAAAAAAAGACTGTGAAAGTTTAATCAGTTAAAGAAAAATCTTAAAGTAATATTAAAAAAAAAAAATACTAGTTATTGTTAACAGAATTGAACCAGTAAACAAACAACCCCATCTGTTGGCAAATTGTGCAAAAAATGCTTCCTTATTGCTTTATTTTTTAAATTTGCTCTCAATGTGCTGCTTGGATTCACAGTTTTTCTGTTTTTCTTTTTCTCTTGCAATCAGACTAATCGTTGGTGGATTTTTAGAATTTCTCTATCCGTGCAACTCACGCTTATTTCCATGCAAAAGTACTCTAAGAAAACTAGTTGACCTTAATGCACGAGTTCCTTAACCATAGCTTCCAACTCTACTAGATTTTGTCAGTTTCTACTGATTTTCGCACATTTTAGAAAATTCCCTAAAATTGAGTAAGTTTCCTAAAAAAAGTTCCTACTGAAATAGAATTTTTTCACAAATTATTACTTGCTTGAATATTTAAATAAGTATTACCAATATATAATGAAACGAGCCTCATTTATAGAAATCGGTTTAAAACTTTTTTTTGTTCTAAAATGTTAAGTTTATTTTTATTCAGAACTCCCTTTTTAAATTAAGTAAAAAAGTATTTATCTTCGATGAATTAAATGCCTATCACTATTCAAAATTATGAGCAAACCTAATTCATAACATTTCCAGTATAGGGGAGAGTCGGGTAGCCCCGCTCACTTAAGGAGTATTGCTTATATTTCTGTATAATACTGAGTAATAATCAACATTTTTGTATGTTTCTATTGTTTTATCTAATTAAATAATGCAAAAAGAATAAGCCAAAAAAAGAATAGTTAAACTTAAAAAAATAGAAATTTAAAAAAACATGTTTTTCAGCTCTTTTTCAAAATGTGTCGGGTAGCCCCCGCCCAGTTTCAAAAATTTTGTTTTTTGGCTATTTTTTCAGGTGTAAATGAGAATGACCAATGTATTGACAATAGATAAACCTCATTTATCATTTTTATCGCAAAATTATATTATTTATTACATATTTATATACTTTTAGTGAATTCTATCATTTAATAACAACGTTTAATTATATTAATGG